TTTTAAATTCATTTTACCATTTCCTCTCTAATTTCTTTAATGATTTTCATAATAGCTTCTGTTTTTAACTTCAGTAACAACATTCTCTGAAGTATTCTGTACTTGTTTTATTTTCTCTCCTCTTGATCTCTGATGACTTCTTTTCTGATACAGGTTGTCTTTTGCATATTTGCAATTTTATATTTCATCAGAGTTTGTTGGAATCATGAGGGAGTTGGGTTGAAGATAATCTGTCAGAAAGGGTATCTTTTGCTTTTGCCAGAGCTGTAAGTGTGAATGTTTATTTATCCATATCTTGAATTTTATATATTGGACTTCCAAGCCAATACTGTCTGGAGAAAGGCTGCACTCTTGCAAAAATAATCTCCATACAGATAAAACTGATATAAAAGGCAACATTAGAGAAAAAAGTGAAAATTATAGAGCCCATTTGAGCCCCCTATTTGAAGTTGTTTGCCGAGTTGGAAGATCAGATAATGGGAGTCACTTTCTGGTCACTTTTCCTTGAGCATCTCTGAACACAATTAGTGGTTAAATAAACTGAAGTGCTATAACTTTCTATAGGTAAACACTGATGGCTGCTATCAAAAACACTGTCTCATATCTGATTACTGGGGTCATGTTTATGTTTTTCTTTTAGCTGACAACAATCACTGCTGTTTTCCTTATTTCTCAGTCTCATTGTAGATGACATAGACAAAGGGGAATGAGTTTTCTCTGAGTAAAATGTTCCATGAAATCAGATCCAGTGTTATATATGCCTTGGCTATGTTTTCCCTAGATTTCATGTCAGTTTTATATCTAGAGGCTCTTATGGTTTAGATATAGTCTGAGTACATCTCCCTAATGCTCACATGTGGGAAGCTTGTTCCTCCAGGGTTGTAGGGTGGGGAGGTAGTGGAATACTTAGAGTCGGGGCTTAGTGCAAGACAAAGCGGTCCCTGGGGATGATGCCTTCTGCATGACTGACACTGGTCTCACTGAGTCTTTTCTGTAAGAATAAGTTGTTATGAAAAGTGGTCCTGATCCCCGATCTCTCTTTGGCCTTCTGTCTTGCCATGTTATCTCTTCCTCTGACATGTATGTACACTATTGTGAGGCCATGTACAGTGAGGTCATAGCTCAATGCCATGAGCCAATACCAATGCCATGCTCTTGAACCTCCAAAACTGTGAGCTTCTCTTTTCTTTAGACATTACCAAGCCTCAGTTATTTTGTTATAGTAACAAGGAATGGGCTAATACAGGTTTAACTAATTGACAGCTTCTATCCTAAACTCAAGTTAAAATAATAATAGAAGTCATAAGCCTAAAACATATTTTCCTCTCCGATTACTTTCATCCAGTCCTACACATATATCCACTCACTTATTCACTTTTGAAGGCACACACATACACACACACAAGATCCAGAGGGAAGCAAGATTTTATAATATGTACTCATTTCCTTCAAGATAATATACAATAAAGGAAATTCAATTTTGTTTATTTCTGAATATTTACACTTTTGCTTCAGTCTTCTCAGAGGGCATCATAGTTTACATACAAACTTGTTTTGTTACCAAAAGTCTTAGTGCTCATTAGAAAAAAAATTGGTTCCTTTCTCCATTGTTCACTGTGCCTCTCATAGCACTCGCTCAGGGTGTGCAGCTCAGATCAGTGCTATCTGAATATGAATAAGGATCAATCCACTTCAGATTTGGCAAGTTCTTATAAATATCTCCTGTCCGCTGAATGCAACCTTCAGAGGATGCATCCCAAGACCCACAGTGGGTACCTGAAACTGCAGTTAATACCTAACCTTATATATTTTGTCTTTTCATATACACACATACTTATGGTAAAGTTTAATAGATAAATAAGGCACAATGAGATATTAACAGCAATAGCTAAAATAGAAGAGTTGCAATAATGGATTCTAACAAAATGTTGTGTTTGGGGGCTATTTCTTTGTAAAATAAGGGTTATTTGAAAACAAGCATTGTGATCCTGCAACACTTGCCCTGGTAGCCAAGACTATAGCAGTAACTAGCAGGTGGTGTATGCAGGGTGGATACGCTGGACAAAGGCATGGTGCTTCACATCTGAGCAAGCTGGAGTAGGACAGCGTGAGGTTTCGTCACACTGTTGTAACAGCATGCAATATAATATTTAGGAATTGTTTATGTCTGCACTACAGTTGATATAGATAAGTGAAATTACGGAAAGCAAAACCACAGATAAGGAGGAACTACTATAACAAGTATCGCTTGTTTTGAGAAACAGGTCCCAGTTCCTGAAGGCTGAATGCAATTGCTTTCAAAAGCAATTCATGGTCTAAAAATGCTTTTAGATGTCACTAAGTGAAATTTGCCAGTTTTTTATACATATTGCCTGAAGTGAATAATCATCCCTTGTTTCCTTTTTCAAGAAGCCTTGATCTAGATGGGGAAAATGTAGAATTAAGCTTTTTATGCATTTGTGTTACTACTATAAAGAAATTTGATGATACAAATCCTCTTCTCAAGAAAATGCACCTAGATGTGAAATTTTACATATAATTTCAGGAGATTTATGGACACCTTGAGGCCTGAATATCGACTCCAGGTCATGATTTCCTGAACTAGTCATGAAGGTATAATTAAGTGGACAAATGGACCAGTAATAATATCATTTATGGAGGGATATGTTCTATATATTACCCGTAAAGAAGATTGTTTAGTTGGATATACTCTGATTTAAATACGTAAAGCATTTTCAAAGATCTACATTACATACATTTTTGACACAAGCTCTGCAGAAATGTATTTGTCTATTTTAATTGAAAAATTCTCTTGATATAAAATTAATACCTTTTATGATACTAGAAATAAAGCTTAGAAGATGATTATGACTATGAGGATTTTAATAGTGGTAAAGCAACACTCCATTTACCCGTGTAGTTTTATTAGTTTCCTGGTATAATTTAGGGATTTAAAGTGTAGAACATTTCTACTGAGTACATTTGCCAGACTTTGTTGCTGTATAGCATTTGTTTTTTCTGGGCCAAAAAAGGCTTTAGGAAATATTTTTATTTCCACATAATACCTGATGTAGCTTCTTTTTATTAGCTATAGCTCTATAAAAAATGTAGAGATTATCAATTACCTAAGTATGTGTGGATCATAGCATCAGTACTCTTGCATTCTATCTGTAAAACATTCCCTTCCTTCTGAATACTACAGATAATTCAATGTTGCCACAACCAGCTTACTACTATGTAATCCCATGAAGACCCTGATGTCCAGACTTTGCAATATAATCCTTATTGTAACTTTAATGCTTATTTACTAATTTGCAAGCAATTGTATTAGGTTTAAACTAATGCTGGAAATGGCTAATTGTATTAAATTTAAACTAATGCTGGAAATGGCTAATTGTATTCAATGCTAATGCTGGAAATGACTAAATGTCTTGTGGTCTGATGGGGAAGAACAATGAATTTGTTTCTTTCCTGATAATTCTTGAAAATAAGTGTCCTAAAGAAAATACTCTGACTGGAAATACCAAACCAAAATGAACTTTCTTTAACTTGAGATTTTGTAGCTTTGGGGTTTTGTTTATTAATTTTCCCTAAGTGTTCTATAGAATGAATATTTCAGTTCATTCACATAAACTTCCCCTAGACTTATTACTCTATTAGAGAACATATTCAACTGGAATAAAAGCTTTTCTCATTTAGGGTCTCCATATTAACACTGTTCTAGGAGGGAATCCAGAAAGTGTGTGAGACCGAGTGTGATTAGATTAACTGGAGCTCATAAGGGACATTTAGACAGACCTCAGATATTTTGTTGATTAATTTTCAGCTGATTGTATCAAAATTGACAGTAATATGTACACTTAAATAATGATCAATCAGTATTTCAATAGGTAAAATATTAAAAAATTGGAATTTTAATATGACATTGGTATAGAGGAAAAGGGAGTTGTAAAAATAGGCAAAGGAATGTCCAATTCTCTAAAACGTACATGCACATGCAAATTTTATAATTCAGTAAAGGAGGCACTCATGTATAGATTGCCATCAAACCCACTAGAGAAAGTAGTAAATGCTATTAAAGTTCAGGAGATAAGAGCTCCTATGTGGAACATCAAAGGAGGTTTCCTGAATTTCATGATACTTGAGCCAAGCCTTGAAGGAGGGATGATATTTGGGCCACAATTGTTGTGAAAAGTACGTGAAAACAATGCTGTGAATCAATCAAGGAACGGATGTACAAATACTGGGGTATTTTGTGAATTAATTGGATGTTTGGAGTCAGTTACAAGACATGATGAGACCTGAAAGGAAACAGGCTGAGATCATTACATGGAACATCTTGTATCCTGAGCTACACAGGATGGACTTCATTCCACAGGCAGTGAGTTTAGGGTCACATAATGATTATTAAGAAGGTGTGTCATGTTCCAAGCCAGCATCGCTACTACACAAGAGAGGCCAGCAGCAAAGGATTCCCCTTGTGTGTCAATTCCATTTTCTATTTCATTATCTCTTGGAAGAGAGCACTGGTTAGAAAACAAGTAACATATTGAAACATGATACATGTATCAGCTTTTTATTCTAAGATCAAAGTGATAAACGTATCGCACTTGAGGTTATAGTAAACAACATCAGTATATTTTTTCCATAGAAAATGAAAAGGGACTGTATTATACTCAACACACTAGAAAAAAGGATTAGGAAATGACAATTTGTGATAGTGATTACTAAGTTTAAAAGCACAAACACTTAGTAGGAGGTGTGTGGTAAAACTTTCAGGAATATCTGCAATTAGTGAAACAAAACAAAACCAGTGTTGTTTACTACTTGTCTGGCATTAATCATTCTCAGGAATGGGTAAGAAGCCTAAAATATGTTCTGAGGCACATGGTTGAGCTTCTAAATATATAAGAATTTGAAGATATAGAGTTACTGGAAGATTACACGTATTTACGCAAGCCAAATATCTTTGGTTTTGTAATTTTAAAATGAACTCTTACCTCGCACAACAAGGTCAGCAGAAGCAGAAGAATTGTCCACAATGGTCTGAGCGGTGCATGTGTATCTCCCTGCGTGTCTCAGCTGCGCGTTCCGGATGAGTAGTTCCCCATTGGCATCCAACTGTTGGCAAAGACAGCAATCATCCCAATTATACATTTTTTCAGCCATTAGATGGGCATTTAGGATATAAAATGTACACTGTTTTCCCTCTTTGAATGGATACAGTTTAAAAGCATCTGTTTCAAATATGCTAACTCGAAGTCCTTGTTTAATTTACTGTTGAGGCTATAGCTTCTCAGCTGAAAAATGAAATGATGTGAATTAATTATGTAAGGCCCTTTTCAGTTTTACTATGTTTAACTTTCTATTATTCCCATGATCAGAAGGCTGTAGTGATAGGAAACCAAGGGATAATACTATTTTTTTGACATGGTTTAAAGAAAAATGTTAAGGTCTAATAATCTTAGTGCTAAATGTTTATGTGGGTAAATACGTGCTATATGGCTGAGAAGAATTGCTAATTTGGTTTTTGCAAAGCTATCTCAATTACTAATTTTGTGATGTGCCACAGTTCATTTTACAATGACACTAAAAGTTCACAGAAATTGTCAAAATGGACAATTCTAGTCACATGTACTTTGTCAACAAAACACAAATTACATGAGGATGCGGATTTTTGTCTTGTTCAACGCTTATCCCAAGTGTTTGTAAGTGTTCCATACACATTTTTGTAGGAAGCTTGAGGGAATTTAGCTTCTGATATAAGGCACAAATTCAATCTAATTTCTAAAAATGGGTAATGTTTATTGAACGCCTGTTCTTCACCAGGTCTAGGCTATGCATATATAATCTCATTAAACTCCCTTCTGACAACAGATCTCTGACATACATCTTACTATGTCCACTTTGTTAACGATAAAAGAGATTTAGAATACCTAAGTAATTTAATTCAGTTCACTCAGTTTGTATGGTAGTGAGAACATGCCAGAGTCATTTGTCATGATCTCCAAAGTGTTTTCTTAGAAGAAAGATGTGGCAAACTCAAAAATACTGACTTACTCCTTCAATCACAGATATTTAGATATACTAAAGGTTGATTCATGAATCAGGTTAATACGTACATGAAAAAAATCTTGCTTGTATGAATTGTCAGACCTACAAGTGTTTAAAATGTGAAATTTTAATGACTATATATGGAGTGTATGTTCTGGTTCACCAAGGATTCTACTAATAGCCTTTCATAATGCATGTTCTCTGCTGGTCTTAGCATTAAGATTTGCAAACCTGGGCACTTGGTTTAATTAATTGAAACAATATTAATATCTCCATATAAAGAATTTTTTAGCCACATATCCTGTTCTTTGATATAAGCTGGTCTTAGTAAATACATACCTAGAAGTTGGGTAATTTAGTGTCTATTGAGATCTTCCTGCCCTGCGAAGACTAGAACAGCTAAGCATCAAAACAGTTCCCAAGATTCCTATGAATTCCCAGAGAGGGCAGGTTTTGTCTTCTGTTCTCTTGGTTTATTTTTTATATATTTATTTTGTGGTCATACAAAAAATTATCAGACCAGAAATTTAGCTCTTTTTTCTGCTTTATATAAAATCTACTAACACAAAGTATTTCCTGGTAAAATTGTTTACTGAAGAAGGGAAGTAGTAGAACTAGTTGAATCCCATGATGTAGGGTAAGTTCACATTAAAAAATATTGTCCATGGCATATTTCTGTTCTTATCAGTTTTATTGGTTACATTCTTACTAGATACTTTTAATGACCTTCACCTTCCCCACTGCCTGAACATTTTGCTGACATTCACTCCTATTCTATTTCTTATTTCTTACCTGTCTCTCTTTTTTTTTTCTTGGAAACAGAACTATTTTTGCCTTATGTTGAGGTGTTTAATTCTTTGATAATTGCCTGGACTCCAAAGATATTCTTCGAAACCTTACTTTCTGTTTTTAGTTTTTTTATTTCTTCACCTCTTTGTCTTTAATCAGTTCTAACCTGGACCTTACCTCTTCAACTCATCTTGCTTAATCTCATAATACCTACCATTTGGCATTCCTTCCTGAAATGTTCAACTTTTCTAGTCACTTCTGGTTTTCCAGAAGAGTGAGGGACACTCTTCTGCTCTTCTTCAAATTCCTTATAATTCCTTCATAAATTCTCAAATTTATTCATTCTTTTTCACTACTAAGTGCCTCTGCCTTTGTCCAAACTATGTACGGACATCTCTTTTTCAGCTGCAATAAGAATTGGATTGGGTAATACATATAGCCCACGTCAGTAACAGCACTTCCTAAACACACAATGAGGAGCTTCTTGGCATCAGGATGAAACGTTCACTTTTGCTACCTCCTCGTGTTTCCCTGCACTCACCTGCCACATCCCCCCAACTGTGAGCAGCTCAGACTTCCTGTGTGCTCTGGCTTCACAGATACCTTTTGTACCACCTGGCCTTGCTCATCCCATCCTTCCATCACACACTAAGTACAACTGACATTTTAGGGTCCACTTCATTCTCTTGAATCCAAAGCCTAGATAGAATAGGTGCTGCCCTTTGAATGTTTTTACTGTAATTCTTCCTTCCTACTATAATTACGTGGCTGTTTATTTCTTCTGCTAGACTAATTCTTTAGAGAAAAGGCTAGGTTTTACATGTGTTACATATAATCATATCTCCCATATAAGAATAATTCAGCAAATAAATATCAAATAAATGAATTAGTAAATACTTATTATATAAAATGTTTTCATTAAGTAGACATTCTTTTAATAATATTATATGATTTTATTCAGGTCAAATAATGATGCTGTAAGATAAATAGCTGAATTAAGAACACTATCATTTTCTATATCCTTGATCATCTATGAATAATATATTTCAAATTATTTATATACTAATTTTGTGAGACAATGTATAAGTTTTTATAAAAGAATTTATAGAAAAAAAGAACATTGTCAACATACAAGTAAACTTAAAGTTTTTCAATCCATTTCTGTAGGAAGAATTTGGTCTTGTGCAAAAAGACCTGGTCTTTGCCCTCATCTCCCAAAAGGTAGTCTGTAACATCTTTCTTTTTCTGGGGATCTTGGATCATGCTCATTAGTCTAACAGTGTGATAAAGAATAAAGGCTCACCACACTTATATAATTTTAGAGTAGAGTTTGGGTCATACCAGGTAGTGTATCAATGTTATTTAGTGGAAGTTAGATATTCTTGTAGAGTCTTAGAGAAGGGGCTGACCATGGTAGAAACATGAACGTTTTCAGTTCAAATAAGGGCTTTAGGTAATGTGTTATCGGTGAACCTCGAAATGTAGTATCATGTGGACAGTCAATCTTTCAGTTGCTCCTGAATGATGAAGCCCTAGTAAAAACTGTGGACAGTGAGGCTCAGTTAAGCTTCCCCAGTTAACTGAGTATTCGCTGGTAATACTTTGCATATACTGCCACACATCAAAGACAATAGAGTAACGCACCTTGGCTCCACAGGGAGAAGACAACCAAAGCTCTGGGTTTGGTACTTCTTCAAAAGCCCTGTCCACTTCTTCCCTCAGCAGATATAAGCCTGCATCTTTTTCCCGTAAGAAACTGTAATCAGTTATAACAGCTTTAGTGAGCTCAGTGAGTCCCTTCCAGTAGAGGCAACTCCTGAGCTTTGCAATTGGTATCAGAAATAAGTGGAGTTCGGGGGACTCTGCTACATTGTATTTGGCCTAACTTCTCATACCATACTAAATATAATTCATCTAATAAGGGAGGTAAAATATTATCATTCATAATTATGCTTTTTAAAAAATAAATTAGGTAAGCACAGAGTAAGATTCTATATATGGGGAAGTGACTATAAGGTCTTTCTTGTCACATACATCTAACTATCCAGTGAGAAATCAACAAAATAATATAAAATAATTATAGTAAAATAAAATAAATGCTATGTATTTGTAAAGATAGACTAATGTGCTTTGATATCCTTAACAGAAATGCATTTAACAGTAAATATTCATTAATAGAAATGTACTAAGTAAAATATTTTCAAACTATTGTGGTGTAAGAATATAGTTATATTTAACAAAATGTTTATATAAAGAGAAAATTATATTCTTTCTTTAAATCAGGTCAGTTCTCTGGTTGGTGCAGTTATCAGAGAGAATCCTGGTGCTGAGGTGCAATGCAGCTGAACAGCAGAAGTTTATGCTAGGCCCTGAGTGGCATCCCCAGGACCAAAAAAAGAAAGAATGAATGAAAGAGAAAAAGAAAGAAAAATAAGAATCCTATTGGTAAAATCCTACTATCTCTCAAGGGATTAAAAGAATAAAACATAAAATACTTCAAAATTTAAAATTTTTCCTATCCAATTTCACAATAAGAAAATTGAGGGCAAAAATAATATAAAGATAGACACTTTATGATATTATTGTTCTTTTAAAATGTTTATATGTTATACATCTACTATTTTTCCTTAATAAAACAGTTATTCTGTTCAGAAATTCTTAGTTTGAAATATAGTGCTGTTTTTAATTTACTTATTTTATTCTCATAGAAATGATGTGATCTTTATATTGTCACATGTAATAGAAAACACAAAATATTGTATGGTTTAAAACATTACATCAAATTCATACTTTTGTACACTTCACATTAAATTCTTACAACATTTAATTAAGCTATTCTAAAAGTTTAATGCTAAACTCATTTAAAAGTCAGCCATTTTAAATATTAAGCCTTAGGTAGGTAATGAGAGGTTAATTTATATAGAACAATAATGAGCGATTTTAACATTTATTCTCATTTGATCTATATTTGGTAAAGGTATAGTGCTGAAACTTCTCAGAAGGAAAGCAAAGAAAAAGTACACTGTGTTATTTCCAGTATAGTTGTGCATATATAATAGCTTTCCTAATGGTTTATAAAAGCTGCTAGTGCTTTCCATACCTCAGAAGATGTTGAGGTTCTCCATGGCTGACAGAATGCTTACAAAGCAAGTAAAGATCACGGGCCTCAGCATATTCTAGCCACAAATTAGATACGAATGCTCTCTATATTTTCACTGAAAACCACAGCTTGGCTAAATTACAAAATGCTTCCCTTCATATGAGGAGAGTTGAATCAC